TTGCTGAAGATAATTCAAAAATGGTTGCAGCAGTATATTGACAGAGAACTTCCAGAAATGCAAGGTGGATTCAGAAGAGAATGTGGAACACGGAATATCACTACTCATGGCAGATGGATCTTGGCTGAGAGCAAAGAATACCAAAAAGATGTTTACTTGTTTTACTGACTACGCAAAAGCATTTGATGATGTGGATCATAACATATTGTGGATAACACTGAGAAGAATGGGAATTCCAGAACACTTAATTGTACTTATGAGGAACCTGTACACAGACCAGGAGGCTGTTGTTTGAACAGAACAAGGGGATACTACATGGTTTAAAATCAAGAGGGAGTACGTCAGAGTTGTATCCTTTCACCATACTTATTCAATTTGTATGCTGAGCAAATAATCCAAGAAGCTGGATTATATGAAGAAGAATGTGGCATCAGGACTGGAGGAAGACTCATTAACAATCTGCAATATGCAGACGACACAATTTTGCTTGTGAAAGTGAAGATGACTTGAAGCACTTACTGATGAAGACTGAAGATTATAGTCTGCAGTATGGATTATACCTCAATATAAAGAAAACAAAAATCCTCACAACTGGACCAATAAACAGGTTCATGATAAATGGAGAAAAGACTGAAATTCTCAAGGACTTCGTATTACTTATTCTACAATCAACACCAATGGAAACAGAAGTCAAGACATCAGACAATGTAATGCATTGAGCAAATCTGCTGCAAGACCTCTTTCGAGTGCTGAAGAGCAAAGATGTCTCCTTGAAGACTAAGGTGCGCCTAACCCAAGCCATGGTATTTTCGATAGCCTCATGTGCATGTGAAAGCTGGAGAATGAATAAGGAAAACTGAAGGACAGTTGATGCTTTTGAATTGTGGTGTTGGCAAAGACTACTGAAAGTACCATAGACTGCTAAAAGAACTAACAAATCTGTCCTGGAAGTACACCTGGAGCGCTCCTTGGAAGCGAGAATGGCCAGACTTCATCTCACCTACTTTGGTCATGTGGTCTGAAGGGACCATTCCTTAGAGAAAGATATCATGCTTGGTAAAGTGGAAGGTCAACAAAAAAGGGGAAAGCCCTCAACGAGATGGATTGACATAGTGGCTGCAATGATGGGCTCAGGTATAACAGGAATCATGAGGCTGGCACAGGACTGGGCAGTGTTTCGTTCTGCTGTACATGGGGTCGCTATGAGTCGGAGACAACTTGTGGCACCTAACAACAACATAAGGATTTGATGTGAACATGAATATTTAAGAAAGTAGCCATAGCCAAATGTTTTTTTGTTTTTTAAAAAAAACACAGCTACTTATGAATCAGTAGTATACAACACTCTAGGTAAAGGAAAACTGAGCACTGAGAGACTAATTGTGATAGCAGTATTTTTACTTAACTAAAAAAACAACTGAATGGATCTACAGTACTTATCTCCAATTACCTTTTTTCCCTTCAAAAATCTACTACAAATTATCGTAACTTTGCCCCGTTAGTTCTATTTATATGGAAAATTACTTATGATGACTTCTTAGCAATAGCCAAACACCCCAAGAGAGTGAGTTGTTGGACCTGTGGGCTCGGAACAACAGTCATGGGGGACATCCTACACAAAAACACTGTTCTACATCCTGCTTTAGTGAGTAGCAACTGGGGTCTGAAAAGCTTGCAAACGGCCATCTATATGCAACAGTTGATCTCTCCTTGTTTGGAGCAAAGAAAAATGAAGAAAATCAAAGATACATGGAAAAATTAATCCAAGGGACAAGTGAACCATACAAACCTCAGCCTATATGACCATGAGACCAAAAGAACTAGATGGTGCCCAGCTACCACTGTCAACCACTCAGAAAGGGATCAGTGCAGGAGATTCTGGATAGAGTGGGAGAAGGATGTATAACAAAACTCAAAATCATAAAAAAAGACCAGGCCCACTGATCTGATGGAGACTGGTGAAACCCCCAAGACCATGGCTCCTAGTCACTCTGCAGGCCTGGAATTGAGCTCACTCCCATGGCTTCCAGCCAAACAACAGACAGGCATGTATGGTGAACATTTACATGAGGTAGGTACACTCCTTTAGAAAAATCAATCATGGGAGATCAGAAGGGCAGTATTTGCACAGGGAGATAGCTTAGGAGGCGGGAATGCACTGGAAAGGACACAGGGAAGAGGTAACCGCAGGGAGGAAGTGGGAAAAGAGCTGTTACATAACAGGGATTACAGTCAATGTCATGAAACAAAATGTGTATGAAGTGTTATATGGAAAATGAACTTGCTCTGTAAATTTTCACCCAAATCACACAAAAAACAAACAAACAAAAATCTACTACAAAATTTCATTAATGTTAAAATGCCAAAGATTCTTAGTTTAAAGGACTGGAGCAAACTCTTCAACTTAACTTAGTTAATAATACTGAACTTAGTCTTCTGAAAAAGCCCTCTCACATCTCAATTTTGAGAAACTTAACAACTGGACACGGGGAATCAGGAGAAATTCTAGTCTAGTTCTACCGTTACATTAGGCACGTGGCTGTGGTAGTTCACTTCATCTTTTGGGGAATGAGCCCTCTCTGCAAAACGAGGTAACTTGATTAGGTTTTGCTGAACGTTCCTTTTAGGTCCAATATGCCAAGAATCTATGAACTATGTTTCTAGAATCATATATAACATGTATTCTTCTATAAAAGTATACAAAATGAAGCAGAAAAATGAAGCTAAATGGTTCATTTTATTTTTTAAGGTAATCTTTACAAAGTAGCATTTAAAACTAAATCATCTCACAAGTCAAAAAACTGTCTGATTGTGTTGTCCTCACATTGGCCAACAAATACTCATTGTGTGTCTGCCACATGCCAGGCCACATATAACACACACAGCATTTCCTCTCCTATCCTGTGAAAAAACATCAGCGCTTCTTCCAAGTAAACTTTCTGCGGGCTCCCTCTTGGCCTGGCTTCTTCCGTTCTCTGACACGTGGATCAGTGGTAAGAAGTCCAGCTGCAACATAAAGAAGAGAAACATTTATGAACCATGGAAAATGCATGTTGCTTAGCCGGAAAGTAGGTGAACTGCATGAAATTAAAGGCATTGTCAAAGGAAAAAACTTGAGGAAAGCATCCACACCTATACTAATAACGTACCAGCTGCTCTAAAACTCATGACCTCCATTCACTGTCACCCTTATCAGGATATTTTTCTAATTTCTGAGACAAACAATGGATACATCACTGTCTGCTTTCCTTATCCTATAAAAACTATGACTCCTTTTGGTTTTGAAATTTGGTCACCTTAAGATCAAGATGCTCTTATGTGGGCAGTCACTGTTCCTTGCAATGGAACTTATCCTGCATGCTGATTATTACAGATACAAAAACTGTAATGGAAACACGAGGTAGAGAAGAAAAACTTAACATTGAATGGTAAAGTATGAGGAAGTATAGCTGATCCTCATTATTTGTGGATTCCATATTTGCTAATTTGCTAATATTTATTTGTAACCCCAAAACAATACTCATGGCACTTCCATGGTCATTTACAGACATAGAGAATGGTGAAAAATTTGAGGCACTCAACGTGCACATTTCCTAGCTGAGGCCAAATAAGGCAATCTTCTGCTTTCTCATTTCAGCTTTCACAGGTAAAGAAGTATCCTTTTGTGGTCTGTTTAATGTTATGTTTTATGGATTTTATTGGTGATTTCAATGTTTACAATGGTCCCCAAGCTTAGTGCTGCCTAGTTTCTTAAATGCAAGTAGGTTGTGATGTGCCTTACGGACAAAATTATACGTGTTAGATAAGCTTTGTTCAGGCATGAATTATAGTGTTGTTGGCTCTAAGTTCAATGTTAAGAGTCAATGATATATACTCAAGTGTCTTTAAACAGAAACACACATAAAACAAGGTTATGTACTGACTGGTTGAGGAAAATATTGTGACCAAATGCTTGCAGGAACCTAACTATACATTCCCTGAGAACAGTGTGGTTCAATATATACTAACTCTGTGTTCATGACTTAACAGAACATAGCTACCATGAATAAGAATTGACTGTATATAGATATCATATATGAAAGGTATAGACAAAGATACATACAAACACATAAAGTAATAGGATATATCAAATATATCTGAGAAAAGAAACTGTTTTATTGTTTGTGATAATAAGTTATATTTTTAGTGCATGCAGTTTATTCTAGTAGATTCAGTTTGAACCGGAAGCTTCCATCTCTTGATCATCAGGAATAATTTTGACTTTTTAGACAATTAGTTATTCTTAGGATATAGCCCAAAGAGAAGAGACCCCAAATATCAGTAAAGACTGGAGATTTTAAGAAATACCAATGATCAGAAAACTCTTAAATTGCTTTTTATAATTTTTATAATTTTGTCTATAGGGCACATCACATTATCTTTTTTTTTTTTGTACTCTTTTAACATAGCATTTAATTTCATTTTATGCAAGCCTTAGATATTTTATTATAAATCTACTGATGGGCATGAAGCAAGGGAAAACTTCCAACATGCACATATACCCACAAGCTTACTGAGCTACTTGTACTTGTAGAATACAGAATAAGGCAACAATATTTTGGACAAAATGCAGACAAGACCTGTCTAAACTCTGGTTTAAATTATAAATAATAATGGTTTATTATTTCCAAATATGCACTGGAGCTCAAACTAGCAGAAATTATTAAGGTGCTATCAATTTATTTTAATGACTAGATATGAATCATATATAATGGTGAACTTTTTATATGCAAATGGAGTTTTAAGAGGCTTAAAAAATTAACTAGGTTAAACAACAGGCAGCACTTATTTATACCACAGTATTAGAATCCCAGAGGTGAGTGCTGGGAGGGACTGCAGAGACCACCTAACCCAACCTTCTTATTTGACCAGGAGGAAATGCAGCCCCAGAGGTGCTAAGTGACTCACTCAGCTCACACACAGCTCTTTCTCCCTTCATAAGTACAATGTTAGCCTTCCACTAGAATCTCTGATTTATTATAAATTTTAGAACAGCACCCTAATGAAAGAATAGATTGCATATTCTTTGCCATGCATTCTTCGTGACACTGTGCAGAGAGTCTTATATCACAACCAGGTGATAGGATCACACCGAATGGAGTTTAAAAAATAAAATTTGAACATCACAGTGAAAAAATGAAAATTTCCAGTAACTGTGGAAATAAATTAGTAGCTTCATCAACAAATCAAGTAACTATTAAAAATGATCTATGACAAAATAAACAACCAATTTATCTGTTAAACACAAGTGTTTGGTAACCTGGATGAAAGCTTAAGGCCAAAAAAAGCTTTCCCAAACCTTTGGACTGAACATTTGAGCAGGGCTAAAATAGTCATTGGGAGCTCTGGTAGCATAGCGCCTAAGGCAGTTGACTGCTAACCAGAAGACTGGCGGTTCAAACTTACCAGCCACTCCTCGGAAGGAAGGTTGGGCAATCTACTTCCGTAGTGACACGTCCTCAGAAATCCAAGGAGGGGTCGCTATGAGTCCGACTCAATGGCACATAACAACAACAGTAACAGAATGGTCATTGGGAGCTCTGGTAGTGTAGTGCCTAATGCACTTGACTGCTAACCAGAAGGCTGACGGTTCAAACCCACCAGCCTTGGAAGGAAGGTTGGGCAATCTACTTCCATAGTGATACCTCCTCGGAAACCCAAGGAGGGGTCGCTGTGAGTTGGATCCGACTCGACGGCACATAACAACAACAAAATAGTCATTGCTGTGGCTGCCTACTTCATTCTCTTTTTTTTTTTTTTTTTTAATTCAAGTTCACTCCATGGAAAACAAAGCTGAAAAGGACATTATGGCTCTTTAGCATGAAAAGAGAAGCCAGAAAAACAAAATATTTAGATAAATCAAAAAACCAAACTCACTGCCACTGAGTTGATTCCAACTCATAGTAACCCCCTTTGGGTTTCTGAGGTGGCAAATCTTTATGGAAGTAGATTGCCCAGTCTTCCTTTCACAGAGTGGCTGGTGGGTTTGAACCTCCAACTTTCCAGTTAGCAGTCAAATGCCTTAGGCATTATGCCACAAGAGGTCCTTTAGTTAAATACTAAATTTTAACTAAAATTTCAAGTAACTAGTACAAGAATAAGGAGTCCTCATGGCACAATGGATAAGTGCTCAGCTGTTAACCAAAAGGTGGATGGTTTGAGCCCACAAGTGACTCTGCAGAAGAAAAGACCTGGCGATCTGTTCTCATAAAAGTTACAACCTTGGAAACCCTATGAGCAGTTCTACTCTGTCCTATACGGTTGCTATGAGTCAGAACTGACTCAATGGCAAACAACCACAACAGTACAAGAATCAGATATGCTGGCAGAAAACATCAGGACAATCACGCCTTTCCAATTTAGATTCCTACCTTGTCTCATCCACTCGACCTCGTCCTCCGAGACGAAACTGCATAAGGCTTTTGCAGTTGCCAAGCGTATTGCTCCAGCCTGTGCTGATCTCCCGCCCCCCGAGACTGTGCAGGTCACATCATGTTTTCCAAGCCGGTCAAGGAAGTGAAAAGGGAACATCAACTGTTCTCTAAAGCACATCACAAGTAAATATAGTTACATTTACTATAAAGATACATGACTTTATAAACTGCTGACATTCTGAATGTTTATAAAAATCGTATTACATATGTCAATGTTATACTTTCACACGTCTCAATCAGTCTTTTAAGCCAAGATATAGAAACGTTATTTTACTGATATTTAGAATGCCTCCTGAGAATCCTATGGTTTATTCCTTTTCCTTGGGTATAGCAGTACACATTATCTTACTGTTTGCTGATTGCCTTTATCTCATGAAAACTTTCTAAGGCTTGAAAGTAACCTCATAAAGAAGTCTTAAATTTGGAGAGCTCCATTAATAAACTGAATCTAACCTCTCTGAATTCAATGACAGATATAATATTATTAGGAGTTCCCAAGCAGGTATTTTTCATTTGGAGTCACTAAATAAAGTCTACTATAATGTATTTGAGGGAGCGCTGGTAGCATAGTGGCTAAGGCACATAACAACAACAACAATAATGTATTTGAGGAGCTCTGGTGGCATAGTGCCTAAGGCAGTTGACTGCTAACCAGAAGGCTGGCGGTTCAAACCCACCAGCCACTCCTCGGAAGGAAGGTTGGGCAATCTACTTCTGTAGAGATGTTGTTATTACGTACTGTCAAGTCGGCCCCGACTCATAGCAACCCCTCCTAGGGTTTCCGAGGCAGTATCACTATGGAAGTAGATTGCCCCATCTTCCTTCCGAGGAGAGATACCACCTCGGAAACACAAGGAGGTGTCGCTATGAGTCAGGTCTGACTTGATGGCACATAACAACAACAATAATGTATTTGTATCATGTATGATGCTCATCCTGATGCAGTTTTTTTTTAAAGTTACTAAAAATAAATTCAACTCCTCCACCCTCCTTTGAACACACATTCCTATTATACATCTCCAAAGTGCAGGGTCCTGTGATCTCCCTGGTGCCAAATGACAAACCATATAACCAAGTCAGACCTGCTTTGCTCAGTGGTGGGTGAGGATCCACATGGTCCTGGGCAGGCATCACAGAGTCAGAAAATGGAACACAGACAAAACACGGCCCTGACCTTCTTTAGCTCAACTTAACAGACACTTATTAACCACCATTTATGTGCCAGGTCACAGCCACCTTTGTCATGTACTTTGATTCTGCTATTTTGTCTTAATACCTCTGCTAAATTTTAGGGCAAGTTAATTTTTACTGCATTTGCTTGCTTTTTCTGACACTGTTGCTTTCTAGATCCAAAATAAAGCTTATCTTTAAAACAGTGAAGATGGGTAAGGACAGGAATTCCATGTTACTCTTTAACACTGGCAAAACAGACACTCATATACAGATCAGACAGGAACTGCAAAGGGCACAGCAGGTTGGAATGTATAATATACCTGTATAGACACGAAACAATTCCTAGAGCCCCACAAGCAGTGGTGTCATACAATATTGATATATATACTATATTCTAAGTTCCTTAGCTGTTCCAACCATTTGTTGGCAAGCTTAACTACTTATCTGTCTGAATTCCTAAATTTTATGATTCCCTAACAAATGTTTATATAAATAAACGTCGGCTAAAAAAATTGTAATTACTAAAAGCATGTCATAGTAATGGTGCCAAAGTGGCCAAGGAAAGAGCCTTTAAAAAGATTCTGGACAGCTGGAAAGTTGTTGGAACACCATTGCATAGGACTAAAATTGTAACTAGATTGAAAAACAAAAAACCTCCAAAAGGTAACAATTGAAATGGTCATTATATAGCTATCAATTTTAATTAATCTGGACTGCAAACTAGTTCATACAAGGACTACTTTACATGGCACAAAAATATTACACAATTCATCTTCTCTCCCGTCATGAATATAAGATGAAATTCTGAGTTAAAAGGACCAAATTTATTTTGTTCTTTGTTATATAAATCAAAGCTATTTTGAAAAATATAAAATAAAATTAATAAATTACTTTCTCATTTATATCTTCTCTGAATTCTACTTCTACAGCACAATTCCATAGCATGTAATTTAATATATAATTGCACACTTTCATTTACTCTTCTCTAATTGCTTAAAATGGTAACCCTGCTCCTTCTATTACATGGCTAGGGCCATACAAGGAATCATGTTTCTTTTGTACAGATGGATCAATCAAAAAAATCTACTGGTTGATGGCCTTTCCAAATCAGAATGTTGTAAGCTTTGTATCATAGTACCAGGCACACAGCAATAAATACCTACTGTGTAAAAAAAATTCTAATAACTCTGGGAAGGCAACAGAATCAACATACCCAATGATCTACGTGCTAAATTTGTGTAAAGATTGCCGAAAGAAAGATTCTCAAAAGGAATATGTTCAACGGACTCTGAGGCAAGCATCTTAGAGATAGATTATCTACTTCAATTCTCTTATCAATTGCCAGAAGTCCCTCAGCTAAGAAACAGAATCAGGACCAAGATCATCTGCTCTTGGTTCAGTAATTTTCCTCCTGGTCAACAGTAGTGTCACCGCTAAATTCCTAAGTTCTTGAGCTGCTCCTGCAAAAGGAAAGGCCAGTCCAGGGCTGCAACAGCTGCCCTAAATCCCTACAGCCTTTGAAAAACGAAACAATGAACCAGTTTGGATGCCAATTCCCACCAAGACTAGACTTCCCAACTGGATAGGAAGTTTTTTGAGGATGGGAATAGTATCTTAAAAAGCTCTGATAGATTCATAATGCCCAGAATAAAACTGGACACACAGAAGATTCTTAGTAAATATCTGCTGAATACAAATAGAAGAGTAAGACCTAATGATATAATTTAATTGTGAGATCTAGTTGAGACTTGCTGTTAAATCATCAGGAGTTGTATCTTAAAACAAATTAACAGACAATAGGTCAAGTGCCATTGCTTCAAGCAGTTCTAAATGCTGAAGTTACTACCTCTGTGATATGGGTCTCTCTCTGGCTTTTAGTAAGGAAAATAAGAGCTTCTTTCATTCCCTTTCCTATGAGGATGATGACAGAATTAATTTAATTTATATTAAATGGAGTTAAAGTAGGCTACTTCATGACACAGTTACACAAATAGACATTTCATGAAGTAATTTTTCTGTCCAGAAGATTACACTGTATTAGAAAGGTTCTCTTTTCCTTACATAAGCAGAGATAAGAATTTTAGCTCTTTGACCTTAAAAATCACACTTTTAGGAAATAGAAGTATTAGGAAAGATGGAACTATTTAACAGAAGAATATTAACTGTTTCAAGAAGAGGCCTTATGTAGCAACTCACATAGGGATCTAAGATGACTATATTAGATGATCAGGAAAATTATAATACCTACTTATGTTTAATGCCTATTTCCTAATAGGATACAAAGTTTGAAAAATGAAACTGCTGTAATTTAGCACTGGGAACTATGCAAAGCCTGATGGTCTCTTATTTTAACCCAAGAACAGCAGGCTTCTTTGCTCTGTCTCTCCCTGTATTTTTACCTAGAGATTTTTAAAAGAAAAATTCAGAAAACTAGGTAAAAAAATGAGTAATTTATCTTCCCTAGTTTGATAAATTGTATTGGCAGAAATAAATAATCATTCAGATAAATATAATAAAAACATCATAAGCCTTTTTAATTGATCATTATGCATTATAAAGTATATTTTCTTTAAAATGGAAAGCAAAATCAAAAAAAGAACTAACCTGTCCTGTGTCACTGGGAAGTAAAGCAAATAATCAACTCCATTTACTTTTATTTTCCCACTTCCACGTTCATAAACGACTGCTTCTGCTTTTGCACTCTTTCTTTTACCTTAAAAAAATTTTTTAAAATATGAAATTCCTATTATAAATTTTTTCTAGATTAACAATATGAAACATTGCATCTGTGAAAGTTCTATAACTATTACAAGTAAAACAAAAACAAATAGTCAAACTGTACCATAAGAGATGGAATAAAGCTGATTAAGGTGTAATTTCATTCTTCAATTCCATTTTAGGGACATTAATGTGATTTTAAATTAGTTTCAATAAGCAACAAAGTATTCATATTCATTTAGATTTATTTACAAAAAGTTTATATGGTCTTCAAATTTTGCAGTTAATACGATTATAATAATTGTATATATGTGTGTGTGTGTGTGTATATATATATATATATATACACACACACACACACATATATATATGGATAGTGTGATAGAATATAATTGGGTAGAAATAAACAGAGAAGACAGTTGAAAATGATAAAAGAATGGTGTTAAATTTTATAAGAGGTGCACCTATACCATTTAGTAAGTCAACTATTAAAAGTTAACACTGTGTCAAATGTCTTTGTATTTGTATAAAGAAAACATGAGTTGATGATCTGAAAAGTCTTCCCAAGTTCCAGTTTTAATACCTGACATGCAGATTCACTGTGCACCTTCATTTTATAGAACCCTTTACTATAAGCTTTTCTTGATTCTACCAGTTGAAAATGTAAAAATAAAAATTTAATATAAATAGGTGAAAATAAAAAGTGTTAATATGTTCATACAAGTATGTATTCATATTTTTTTCCTGGTATATTATAAGGTGCAGGTATTATAAACTTCAATAGAATATTAAAAATTTGGGAATCCAAGGCAGCTGTAGCAAAAATGAGGAAACTAACAAACAAAATCAAATGAATACCAGGGAGCAATAGCAAATAAAAACAATTGCAGTTTCTCAACTTCACTGAATTTATTTTCTCTCCATGGAATGTCATTACCTTCACTCGTGCTGAAGGCCATTCCTTGTTCGTCATACTGCAAAGGTTCAATCAGCTGTTTTTTTGATTGAATAGTTACACTTCTGCGAAACCTGTGCACAAATTCTTCTTCAGCAGTACCACACTGCAATGTCAAAAACCTTTCTAGCAGCCGAATGAACTGTGTATACTGTAGACAATAAAAATTCATTAGGAGATGCAAGTGTAATTGCATTTGCTAAGTTTTTTCTATTTTTATATACTTGATCTTTCCAATGTTGCTTTTCTTGATGAATTTTGACAGGATGACACTTCTGCATCTTCATGCTGCTTTTAAAACAGCATGCAGATGCATCACTTTCCCTGTGTATCTTTAGTATTAAATCTTTTCTTTCAAGAAACAAAGAAATTCATCATTCAGAAAAAAAGTCAATTTCTCTGTATTATGATTATATGAAATTGAGATTTAAATTCATTTTCAAAAAATATTTAGATGATCTTAAAGTATATTTTCCACTTTCATATTAGAACTGTATCAGGGAGCTTTATAAATAATTTCCAGTAAGTTATGTATAGTGAAATGGAAAGAGTTTGATTTTGAGAAAATGTGCCTCTTAAATTATATTTTATAATACACTTGGCAAATATATCTTTGGCTGTTCAAGCTGTGTTACTTTAAATGTTTATGATTTCCTTTAAAACCGAACAATCAAGCTATTTAAAAATTCAAGAGGTACTTGACTTAAAGGGCAACCTCTTGAAATAAATTATCCTTGCTACTCTGTGCATTTTTTTTAATAGTTCTTGAACATGTGATTAGAAAGTAAACAACTTGGTATTAACCCCTTAAAATTAGAAGCCAGAATAATCATTCTAAAGTGTTTATGCAGAAGGAAACAACTAATACTTGAGATCCCTAGTTAATATGGATTGTGAAACCCAGCTTTTGATAACCTTACTTAGGTTTTTGCCAACCCTAAAAACCATACTCGTCTTTGTCACTACTGCCTTTACAGCAAAACTTTGCCATTAATAATTGGAAATATATAGTGCCTGGCTACCATTACCAACTGTTCTGACCAAGAACACAATAATAGAAGACTCTGGATAGAATGAGAGAAAAACGTAAAGTAAAATTCAAATTCCTAAAAAATGCCAGACCTAATGGATGATAGAGACTAGAGGAACCCCTGTGACTACTGCCCTAAAATATATCCTTTGAACTTGGAATTGAAGCTATGTTGGCAGGTTAGCTTTCAGCCAAATAACAGACTGGCTTACAAAATAAACAATATCGATGAGTAATGTGTTCCCTTAAACAATGATCTATATGAGACCAAATGGTCAATATTTATCCAAAAGCAAAGATGAGAAGGCAAGGAAGGACAGGGAAGCTAGATGAATGGCAACAGAACAAACAGAACGGCAATAATGAGAATGGTGATACTCTGTGGAAATTGTAACCAATGGCATGAAAAAATATGTATGAATGTTGTTGAAGGGGAACATAATTTTCTGTATAAAGTTTATAAAATATGATTTTTTTAAAAATGCATGAAGCCCAAGACCAGCTGACATTCAGCCCCACCCCTGACCTGGGCCTGTGATGGCAGGGAGGGGAAGTGACATATATAACAATCCTAGAAGTAGGAGTAAAATGAAAAGAACCGCTTCAAATACAACTTCCTCTAATGTTCCAATAAAAGAAAAGTCAATTTTTAAAGAGTGAAGTACTTAGCCACCTAAGGCAGTGGCCTGACACAGCTCCATTCCACTTTCCCTCCCTCCTCCAGTTACAGACCTACTTCCTTTGTTCTCAATCTGGTTTCCTACACTCTCTCTGAATTTCTGGAACCTAAAAAGGGGTAAGTAACTACTTGCCTTGCTTATGAAGTAGGCTTAAAAAGTCACTGATCACTCCTTCATTCCATATGGATCCCAGCATTTCTTCTAATATCCAATACCCCAAAAGTACAGAGAATTATCAAATACATGTGTATTATATATAATCAAATATACATATATGTATATGATAATTTTCTGTAAACACACACACACACACAGGAGATTCTGAGCTAGGTCTAGGGAGAAGCTTAGGAAGCTACATTTTGTAATCAACATTCCAAGTGATTCTGATACAGGTGGTTTTGCAGATCCCAAGTTGAAAAACAACGACCTTACAGATATGCATACCAGGTAAGCCAGGAAGCAGCAAATTGCAGGATGGTAACCCATGTGCTTCATCGTTTTTCTACTTAACCTGTAACAGCTCCTTACACTTATCATTAGCTTATAAAATTAGCTATACGCTTTACTGAAGGAGATGAAATGAGACATCTGCTGCACTCCCCTAAAACAACTGGCAGAGGACATGAGGGCACTTATAAAAGGAGTCTTTGGAGAACAGGCATGTCACCTTCATGACCACAGTCAAGGTCCTTCCATGGTGGAAATCAACAATAAATGTGTTTTTTTTTTTTTTTCAAAAAAAAGGAAACTGTCTTAGGAACACCTGCCTCTGAGGAACATTCCTATTAGGACCCTAAATACAGCAATTGTCTGCATTCTTATGGCACAGGTCTCCTTAAATTAAAAAGATTAATTACTCACATCTTGATCTGACAGTTTTTCCACTAACATTTCTTCTAGTTCCTCCTTAATCAGCCATCTGCTGCCAATCAGGTCTCTGTTAAAATATCACATATATTCTCTTTTTAATTAATCATACAATTAGGGTTATATCACAAAAGATCCCACAAATAGTAGCAATTCATGATTTGGAAACATTCTTATATTAAATAAAATATGAAAGTACAATTTAATTCATATATACTTTTTTTTTTAAGAAATATTACTCCATTTTCTCAATCTGCTTTAGGAAACATATTCAGTCTGTTGTTGTTAGGTGCCACTGAGTCGTTTCCTACTCACAGCAACCCCATGCATAGCAGAATGAAACACTGCCCGATCCCGCGCCAGCTCCATGATCCTTGCTATACTTGAGCCCATCATCGCAGCTACCGAGTCAATCCATCTCGTTGAAGGCCTCCCCCTCTTTCATTGACCCTCCACCCTACCAAGCATGACATCCTTCTCCAGGGAATGGTCCCTTCTGACAACATGACCAAAATGGGTGAGACGAAGTCTGGCCATTCTCGCTTCCAAGGAACATTTCGAGTGTACTTCCTCTAGGACAGATCTATTAGTTCTTTTAGCAGTCCATGGTACTTCCAGAGTTCTTCGCCAGCACCACAACTCAAAAGCATCATATTTTGTCTGAGTAGTTAAATATGCCAATGTGGAACTCAACTGATATTAAAACTTACCCAATTTCTTAAAATTAAAATTATGTCTTTTTTCATAGTTTACTTCAAAGAGATGTTATGGACACAAGGTTAACCTGTCAGTGAACTGACCTAAATCAAAAACCATTGCTGTCGCCAACTCTGACTCATAGTAGTGATCCTATAGAACAAAGTAGAAAAGACTGTAAATCTTCAGGAAAGCAGACTGCCTCATCTTTCTCCTGCAGAGTGGCTGGTGGGTTCAAACTGCCAACCTTCTGGTTAGAAGCCAAGTGCTTTAATCACTGCCACTGGGCTTCCTTTGTAAATCAAAGTAGTAATAAATTCCAAATAAAGGACTAAAGGTAGTATTTATAATTTAAACAATGCTCAAAGACTTCTGCATTTTGTACAAGAAAAATATGAATAACAAGACAAAATTTAAAACTGGTTGCTTAGCGTGATGGATCTGATTGATCACTATTTGTCAGATGGAAGTCAAACCATGAAACACCAAAAAATTAAAGCTTTCAAATGCTAAGCAAATGTGTAGTCATATATATAAAAATTCTATAGAAACCATAATCAAATAGAGTCATTATTATTTAGTACATAAATCTAAAATGAAGTAACAAAAAAAATAATAACTTCAATACTTTGCTTCCTTCCAAATAAAAATCACCTATTATTTTGAACACTAATGATTAACATTGAACAAATTTTAGCCTTCAGGTATTCCTGGAAAATGGCAATGGTAAGTGTCATAATTTTAGTTCAAATTTTACATATATTTTAATGCAAAAAAGGAACTTACTTGGTTTCAGTTTTTTCCAAAACTGGACCTTTGGCTTCCAACTGGTTTTGACGTTTTTCTATATCTAGTAGCTTTCCATATGCTTCCTATGGCAAATAAAATACATGTGCTAAAATAAGAGAGACTGTACATTACTTATGATATACTTTGTATTTTCCTTCAGAATATCTCATTTCTAAAGTAGCCTTCTCAAATCATCTAGCTGCAGAGTAAATAAAACTGAAAATGCTTTTAAATAATACCACAGGTTTCCCTCACTACCTGAAAGCAGAGTGTGCCTATGAAAGCTTTCGTAAACTGAAATGGCATAAAAGTGAAGAAGCAATTACTACTAATTTATGTGGGGAAAAAATGTTCAGGGTTTCCAGACCCAAAAAATAACCTAACGAATCATACCTAATAACACATAAAGCCCAAAATAACACTAACATAGAGTGTTTACAGACATAGTTCATAACTGCCACAACTTGGTGCTGAGATACTGAACATAGTTCCCAGGACAGGAGCTTGGCACTGCCACCCTTGCTGCTCAGGATGAGTGCTGTCTCTTTAATGGCTCACTGCAAAGCAAATGATGAAAGCTAGTTTCACTTTTTGCTGTTTTTCGTAAAGGCAAAAATTCTATTTGGATTTCTTTTGGCTAGCAAAAATAGGTACACACGTATTAGAGATACTGAGGGTTTGGTTCTAGCTTACTGCAATAAAGCAAGTATAGCAATAAAACAAGTCACAAATTTTTTGGTTTCCCAGTGCATGTTGTTGTTGTTGTTATTTGCCGTCGAGTCGCCCCGACTCATAGCGACCCCTCCTTGGGTTTCCGAGGCAGTATCACTACGGAAGTAGGATTGCCCAACCTTCCTTCCGAGGAGTGGCTGGTGGGTTTGAACCGCCAGCCTTCTGGTTAGCAGTCAAGTGCCTTAGGCACTATGCTACCAGAGCTCCCAGTGCATATAAAAGTTATATTTACCTAACTAGTATTGTGGGAGCTCTGGTGGCATAGGGCCTAAGGCATGTGACTGCTAACCAGAAGGCTGGCAGTTCAAACCTACCAGCCACTCCTCAGAAGGAAGGTTGGGCAATCTACTTCCGTAGTTATATCACCTCGGAAACCCAAGGAGGGGTTGCTATGAGTTGGGTCCTACTCGATGGCAAACAACAACAACTACAATTTTATTACAGTCTATTAAGTGTACAACAGCATTATGGAAAGGTTTGAAATGTGACATAGAAACACCAAGTGAGCATATGCTGTTAGAAAAATGGCGCTGATAGACTTGACACAGGGTCATCACAAACCTTCAATTTGTAAAATATGCAATATTTGCAAAATGCAATATAATGAAGTGCAATAAGACAAAGTATGCCTATACCAATGTAGGGCTTTTGTAAAAGTGATGTGGCATAAACTGAACTTTCAAAAAGCAGAGGACATCTGTATTTCTCACTCAAATTAAAGGATGGTAGAGTAATTCAATGAGAATTTGATATCATACATAGAAACACACTTAACTATGGATTTTAAAATAAACGCTGTAAGAATTTGACAACTCCACTTTAGTGAGGTTGATTGAAAAAAAACAACAATCCACTTGTATACCTTACAACTCCACAAACAAGTCCAAATATTTTCCTTAAAAATCATACTTTATATAGTAATATGCACACTAAACCTAGAAAATTAACCTGTAAAGGTTATGGGATTTATAGCTTAACTATTCACCTAATATTTAATGTTTACATAATATTTAAATCCTTACCATGTAACTTGTATTTTAAGTTTTATATTTATTTTTCATTATTCATTTTCTATGAATTTACTTTCTAACAAATTCTCATATGTCACTTGTTCAACTGCAATTTAAGTAGAGAAAGTTTGCCATTTTGTTAGAACTTGTAAAAAATAATAGTCCAGCAATAGAGGTTAGGACTGTCAATAAAATATATTTTCTAGGAAATGAGTTTACAGCAACTCTGATCTCCCAATTTTTTTCTTGCCTGAGCAAATTATTTCTTTGATCACTCACACCCAATACATATTCACTTATTCATTTGTAATTTATACAATCACAATTTGAACTTAATTAGCTATATAAAACATTCTCTGGATAGGAATTTTAAAAGGGTGAGCTAAAGAGGATATAAATGATATTTTTGAGGGGTTAATCATGACAGCTTCCAGTATTATTAGCTAATGTCTGAAGACACAACTTACTTCTGACGGAGATGTTAATCCATTCAAATAGTTATTAATAATTTCAAGCTTGGGGGGGAGCAACTTCTTCCTGGATTTGATTAGACTGTCATATTACATCTAATGTTGCCAGTAAGAGTTTGTCCTAAAAGTAGAAGTGTCCCTCAGCCATTATCTTTGTATTTACCAGTGCTTGCATTTTAGTATTTTCAGTCTGCAACTTCTACATTTCAGGAATCCATTTTTCTCATGGAGGATAAAAAGAATCTTAAGATGTGAAGTCTAAGCCTTTGGGTTTTAGCAACATAAATATAGGTGAGAAAAATTGAGACATACGCAATGAGTTAGAACTTCTCAGTGAGGTGAGGATATAGAAGTTTATTTCTTTGGCTGCTAAGACTCATAAAAATATATATATATATTTTTTTTTTCCCACTAAGGGAGGTAGAACTGATGACTTCAGATAGAGAAAGAAAATCAGCAAGAGAAAAAGAAATGGCACTTACAGAATATTGTTGTTGTTGCTGTTATGTGCCATCGAGTCGGCCCCGACTCATAGCGACCTCTCCTTGGGTTTCCGAGGCAGTATCACTATGGAAGTAGGATTGCCCAACCTTCCTTCCGAGGAGTGGCTGGTGGGTTTGAACCGCCAGCCGTCTGGTTAGCAGGCAAGTGTCTTAGCCACTATGCTGAAGTTGAAAAACTGAGGATAAGCTATGTAGACCGCAGTGGCCATAAGGAGCTGAAGCTCAGAGTCAGTCAGTCTCGTTCAGTAATTCTAAATAAAGGTTCAGTCCTCAGACCAGCAGCATCAGCGAAAGCCTGAACAGAACTGGTTAGAAATGTATTTTCTAGGTCCAATTCCTAACTGTCCAAAAAGGAATCTCTGCAGGTGGGGCACAGCAGTCTGTTCTAACCATGACTCCAAATGACAGACACTAAAGACTGACCACTCCTGAGAGTCTAGTTCAACACAATAGCAAAGGGGCAAATGAAGAATTAATCTCAGTGTCCACATTAAATATAACAACTACATGCTAAGTACAAAGCCATCACCTGTGTCAGCACAGGAATGAATCTTAGGTTAAAAAAAAAACAAAACTGTCCACCCTGAAGAAAGCAAGAACTAATGTGAATCATCCAATACACAGACTTTCAATTTTCAAGTGATCTGAACTGGTAAAATGAGGAACAAAACCCCATCAAATGAACCCTCCCCTACTTGTACGAAGTGGACTGGTAAGATTCAAATAGCATCTCACTGCCCATCCAGCAGCTCAGTGGGACAGCATCCTAGATTGGGCGCTCTGCTTTAGTACAGATTTAGACTCTCAGTTTGTGCTGGTCCTCCTGCCTGAGTGTTGAGATTCTGAGAGTACAAAAGTCAGAGATGTTGTCTTTCAAAATTAGTAATTTTGAACCCAAGAGAATAATAACAACAGTAATAAAATATTCTTTCCTGCTTGTAAGATTGTATTTAATTTTCTAGAATAACTAAGACAATAACAATAATTCACCTGTTATTATGAACAGGTTTCAAGTCAAAATTTGGTTGCTAAATTCACCATCATTTTCCATTGACTTCTGAGTAATTTTCACTTTAAGTCTATACGTATTTTTAAAGTTATCTTGTTACACTATTACCAACTAATGTTTTATTTAGATCCATAATAATTTTTAAATAGTGCAAGTAAAATAATAACTAGTAAAGAAATATGGAATATGAAAAAGCAACCCATAAAAAAGGCAAACAAGGTAAAGCCCAGTCATTTAAGGCTCTCCATCTAATGGTTGTTAAGCCACTCCATACATTTCTCTAAATAGGAAAATATATGTAAAGTACTTAGGCCAATACCTGCCTTATAGCCTTGTTTAAGAAATGATAGCAGGGATGAGATAAGACATTCAAGAGTCAAAAATTCTAAACAATGTTATTGGTGTACCACTTTTGTTTATTCTTTCCCTTCTACATAGTAAAACCACTGTTGAGAGTCTAACTTGGTTAGTTAGAGACAACAGTTCTCAGGAAAGTGGATCCTTTAGCTTCAACTCCCAGAAGAGATGTGCACTAATTTACATCAAAAAATCCTTGAGGGTATAAAATATGCCAGGAACTGTCAACATCACATAGTATCACTGGTAGTTTTTCATATATTGTTAAGTTTCCACATAATTTTTAAGGGGCACTAGAGAATTGGTATGACCGCACCTACACTACGTTTATATACTGTATTTAATAGTATAATTTTCAAATATGACAGGAATAACCCAGATGTGAAATGCTGAATCATTAATCACAGCTATGATTAATATTTCATAAAATCAAAGCAAGCCTATCCACCCCTCGTGTCATCAGATTTCCATAATGTATGAGTCAAATTTAGAAGGTGCCTAATTTGAAAATACCAGATGCTCAGGTTGCAGAAAAGAAATGCTTAAACTAAACCCCTTCCAATAGTGCATGAGCAATATGATTTTCAGTATCCTTCTAAAATCTGTTTTGGTTATATTAATCATATGGAAATTCCAATTTTAGGAACCGTAAACAAGGAACATTTCATGATGGGGGGAGTATAGGAAAAGTCAACTAAATTTTGATATACTAAATAAACAGTAATATACTAATAGCAATTATCATCTTAGATATTAGTTCATAAACAGAAAAGTAACCGATTTACAATTTGTATTTGTTAAAGGAATCACAGAAAATCGACTTCATTTCAAAGAAATTCATTGATAAATAACAATAACTTTACTTTTGTCCACTGACATATATAAAACCTAATAAAATAAATATAAATATAATTCATTCATCATTAACTTAAAGACAGGCTTTTGCTATATATTTAAAGTTTCAAGTGACATAACTATAGACTCCTGCTATATGTGAATACA